TAAATCCAAATGTCACGTCAGATTCAGTTGAGCATCTTAACATAATTAATCAGTTAATTTATGAGTCTGAGCATAGTCAGTAGTAATTGTTTATATTATATTTCAGTTTGATCAGGCATCAACACTACCTTCAGTTTCACGGATCAGGTGGGAACTCAGACTAAGTACTACATTGATTATAATTACGGTACCATGTTTGAGGTATGTACTTCATGTCATGTATCCGCTCGGAATGGTCGCCGGTCCATTTTGGGTTCTAGTGGCCTTAGTCTTCCCACTAGAGTGTGCACATGGTGTCCGACATTAGTTTGTGCCGACAGATGAGGTAACAGTCATGGTTCACCTTCACGTGATGATATAAGATTCGTGTTCATGTTATTACTGGTTTCATGTTCAGGTTATGTATATGCCAGGATCATGATATTGTTATTATATTCACTGTTTACTTTAGTATGATTTTTCACGGAGCACAATGTTATAGTGTTCACGACCCACTTTTATCATGTTTTTCAGGTCAGGATGTCGGGCTGCAGGTGTGAGACGACGGATGATTCAGGACTTTTATGCTTGTGACTGTATATATTTTCATGATACTACGTTTCCACTATTTTTTATGTTTTGACGAACTTATCTTTTGATCAAACTTTCAGATAATTAATGTTTTCAATAAACTGTAGATTTTGCTAAAAGTAAAATAACGGTTTTTCAGAATAAGTCACGTTTTACGATAGCACCCCGAAGTTTTCGCAAATTAAAAGATTTTATTTTAAAAGACTTTGCGAAATTACGCACTCTGATTTTACGATAAGGTGGGGTGTTACACAGTCACGCTGAGCTTCCGGTAGATTCGACAGCGACAAGCCGCGACCCTCGACTTCGGGCTCCATTCAAGGCTTTCAAATTCTCATGCTCCAGAGATCGAGCACAGCCGAGAAGACTCGAGCAGTACAAGTCGCGAGCAGCAAGCCACCGGGCTGCGGTAGATCGAGTCGTTGTCTCATAACCGAGAGGCGAGGACTTTTAACCGAGACTCGGGCCTTGTTTCTTTCATATTTAATTACTGATGGAGGTATATTGGCTGAGACTCTTTTATAACCATCTTTAGGCCGAATATAGTTGGATTTATGTGCTTAAATTCGATTTGAAATCTTTGCCTATGTGGGTAGAAACTTTTGAATGGGTGAACTTTTTCATACGTTTAATTTGTTTAGAAAGGTGATGTTACATGCTAAATATTATGCTCAAGATTCGGTTTAGAAGCATGCTTAGGTGACATAGTTTTGAAGAAGAGAAGTGCTTTATAGATGAGCTGTTTTTACCTTATTTGAATTCTTTATTGGGGCTGATAGCATGATATTATTTTGGTGCTAAAACATGTTATACTCATGATGGAATTGTGTTTAAAATTCATTCCAAATGGCATGAGTTTTGAAGAGAAAAAGGAGGCATTTGTTATGTTGCTTGATGCCTTGTCTATTGCCTTCAAGTGTTGAGTTTTATCATGTGTTTTATTAGGCTGAATATGTGATTAAATTTCAGTTTCAAGGGCATGCTTAGATTAGCTAAAATGTGTTGAGGAAAAGAGACATGTTGAAGTGTGAATTTTCATGTCGTTTATATGTTAATCTTTGTGCTAAAGGTTGGTATTGGAGATGCTAAGTTTCAGCCCTAGTCTAACCACATGTTAAGTGTTAGAGAAATTGTGGAAGCGTGTGTATTCTTGATTTATATGATTGTTGATGAGCCTTTTTCATATTGTAAGCATGTTGGAAAATGTGTTGAGTGCAGATCATGAAATTCAGTTTTTGATTGGCCTTTGAACTTACGAGGAAGACAAAAAAATTGAGGCATATTATGTGTGTTATGCCATGCTTATTGCTTTGCATTGCTTGAGCATTTATTGTGGAGTTTTCAATTGTTGAAAATATGTTATCATTCAGAGACTTATGCTCAATTCATAAGGCTGTGATTGTTATTGTAGTTTAAACCAAAGTTTTTGATCGCGAGCTATAAAATTTCGTGTTTGGCTGATCTGGGCGCTATTGCCGCTATAGCAGCGCTATCACCGCGCTATAACGGTAGCTATACGCCGCAGCGTTGCATTGTTGTCCCCGCTATAGCTCTGCTATAGCGCGCTATTTTATTGCAAACAGCTACAGCTATAAAAGCAAATAAGTTTACAAGTCAAAATTCACAACCAGCCTCCAGCCATAAAGTTGATTAAGTTCACAATTCGTAACAAAACAATGAAGGCATCTAGCACATAAGCATCCACAATTCCACATTGGCAGCCAAGGCATCTAGAGCAATGATCTGACTGTATTGTTCAGCAGCTACATCCTCAGAACCAGAACCAGATAGCATATAAGTATCATAATCATCTTCTCCATCAGAAGATGGAGATGACTCCTCATGCTCAAATGTAGGGATCAGCCGCTTTCTCTTCTTGCTCTTTACAGTTCTCTTAGTTCTTTCTACTCCTTGAGGTGCAGCTGCAACTCCGTGTGATAATGCTCTAGTTTCTTCTTCCTGCTCTATTTTTCCTTCTGTTGGCTCAGTGCCAGTGATCCACTCGTTATCTTCATCTTCTAAAGCATCATGGAAAGATTTCACAATGGGATCTCTATCCTTGTTTTCCTTCTTTTGCCTTAGTTTTGAGTTGAACTTGACAAAAACAAGATCCCTCATTCTGTCATGAAGGATCCTGTTGCGTTTCTTTGTGTGGACCTGCATAGGTTTGATCAAATAATTGATTTCATTATTTTTTATATGAACTCCAGCATAGAAATTACAAATTACAATTAGTAAGTTTAAGTGACAAATTCATACTTGTTCATACGAACTCCAACATCTTTCACAAGCTGATGAACTGCATGTCAAACTTAGAACTCTAGCAGCTAACTTTCCGAGGTTTGGTGCACTAGTTCCATGATTCAGCCACCATTTAGCTAAATTACAAAAAAAAAAATGAAAACAGAGGACAATGTAAGATATTATGTACCAACTCCATGTCTTGATGCACTAGCAGCTAGCACTACTCTACAACTTTCTATTTTAAATTAATCATACCTGGATCAAAATTGATGTTTTTCCACTGCCTTTTAGCAATTTCTTTGCCAAAGGATCCTTCAGCATCCTGAAACAGTCGAAGCTCTTCAATAATCTTGTCTTGAGTCACTTCATTTGGAACAAGCTTTGTAATGCAAGTGATTTACACCATCTCTACATGATTTATTCTCCTCCATAGCCAACTTGTTTTGATAATAATAGAAAGGGTTCAAGTAGTAACCAGCCTTATGTAAAGGTGTCTTTAGCTTACTGTCCCACCTTTTGTCAATTATGTGAAAAACATCCTCAAACTTGCTCCTGTCATTGTTAAACCTCCTAGCGATCTCATTCTTAGCTTCTACTAGATAACCATACAAGAACCCCATGGCTGGAACGTCACTATCCATTCTCCTCAACACAATAGCTAATGGCTCAAAGTAATGAACATCAGTCTCAACTCCTTTCTAGAAAGTTTCAGATTTTACTACATTGTTTGCTTTCTTCCCTTTGGCACTTTTTAGGTAACCGAGTTCATTGAGCTCATCATCCTTAAAAAGCCTCTTCACTTCTTTCTTGTTTTCTAGCAAGCTCTTCAAGTTGAGATAAGCTGTTGCAAACCTTGTAACACCACACCTTACCAAATCTCTAGAAAGAAACTTCCTCATTAGATCTAAAACTCTAGTATGGGCATATAGAAAAACAGTCAAGCACTTTGCTTTGCTGATTGTTGATGCAACTCTTGGCATCTTTTCTATATCTTCCAACATTAGATCAATGGTATGGGCAGCACAACCATCCCAAAAAATGGAGGGATGCTTTGCTTTCAACAAACTTGATGCTGCCTCATTTGGTCTTGCATTGTCAGTTACAACTTGAACTACATTTTGAATCCCTATCTCCTCAATGCATCTATCAACCAGGTCAAAAATGTACCTGCCATCCTTGCCATCGTTCTTCACATCTGAGCAATCCACTGAATCAAGAAAACAAAAACCATATGCACTATGCACTACCAAATTCATCACACCTCTACCTCTCTTGTCTGTCCAAGCATCTGTCATAACTGTGCATCCATTTAGCTCCCAAGATTGTTGGTGAGACTTCAATACCTCCTTCACTTTCCTCTTCCTTTTTTGTAAGAATTTCCCACTCATCTCATATGGAGTTGGCCCTCTCAAGTTTCTGCCAAAGTCTCCAATAGCCTCAAGCATAAGATCAAAGTTAGGCAGTGTCACTGTGTTGTGTGGGATACCTGCTTCATAAAAGAACTGACAGATATACTCACATGATCTGTCCCTTTTCTCTTCACTTTTTTCAGTTGATTGGACCTTTTCATCAACACCAGATTTGCCCTTCCTTGCAGCCACTACTTCTTCTGGTGTCATTCTACAGTACTTGTCCATAGTACTTGTCCATAGGACCCCCTGAAGAAGCACCTTTGCTTATCACCTTCTTCAACACAACAACTGAATTGCCATCAGCATCACTGTGTTCCTCTCCTTCAGAATGGCTCAAATCAACTTCAGCTCTATCTTCTTCTTTCTCCTTATTCTTCCTATGCTTGTATCCAACGTCTTTGACAGCAACTTAATCATTTCTTCTTTCACATCAGATGGAACTTTAGTACACTTTGCAACACCACATTTAGGAACATTACCAAGGTGGTATTTGATTCTGGTTATTCCACCATGATAAATATTTTCACAGTAGTTGCATTTCAGAGAGTTTTTCTGGTTCACATCTGGCATTGTGCAGTGCTTCCAAGCTGGGTCAGATGCTTCAGCAAGAGTATTATTTAATTGTTGTAGCTGGGCGGTGGATGCAGTGCTAGATAAGCCTGCAGTAGACACAAGACACACAAACACAAAGATATGAGAACTACAAATTAGAAAGCTTCTCACTTTGTTTGGCAAGCATCTGAAAATTATAGTAGAGTAGTAGACCCTATTACAGTAAACCCTATAAGTGAATCACTAACTGAAATTATAGTACAGACTACAGAGTAGACATATTGATTATTTTCACTAACTGAATCACTAACTGAAATTACAGTACAAAGTTTTGACAAATTATTCAAAGAAAATACAATTTACAGCTAAGAAAGGAGTTTGTTAAATTTAGAGATTAAGAGTTTTGACTTCTTCCAACAGAAAGATTTTCTTTGTCAATGGCAAAGGTTTAATGTTGTTCGGTGGACCATACCAAGTGATATTTACTTGCAAAATAGAAGATTTGAAAACTAGAAATGTGCAACTAAACCGAGAACACTAAGATACTGATTACAGATTCATTCATTTTGTCTGATTTGCCATTAAAATATGTGAGCTTTGGCAAACCTGTTCTTTTGCTTTTTTTTAGATATATCTATCTGTTCACTTTCTCACTTCAAATATGCGTTGAATTTAATAGATAAACAACAGAGGAGAAGAACTATAGATTGGAGAAGAACAGGGCCACAGAGGAGAAGATCTTGCCTATTGTTGCCGCTGGACTTGGATTGTTGTCACTTGGAGAAGCCATTTTTGGTCGCTTGCTAGTCGCAGCAACTGCAGAAAATCAGGAGAAGAGCTTGCCCCCTACCACCGTCGCGCTACAGCCACCGTCGCGCAGCAGGCGCCCTCGCCCAATAGCAGCGCTCCTTTGCCTGTCGCCGCTGTCGCGCACCTGCAGTGCTCGCCCACTGCTAAGATGTCACACCCCGCCTTACTAGCTTTGAAAATTAGAGTAAAATTTTTGCTTTTATTTTCGAAAGGTCGTGCGAGTTTGGTTTTCGAAAATACTAACTGATTGCGGGATGTAACAGATAAAAACTTACTTAACTTGCTCACAGACATATATAACACGCAACCAAACTATCCGCTACGGATAATGGAATTAAACATGCAATGTTTGAACTGTCTCGCACTGTCTAGTCTGCTAGCGAAAGCGTCCGAAATACAGAAATACATGCATACATATCCGAAAATACATGATCATAAATACTAGGACATAAAATGTGCGTAAAAATGTCCAAAATTCTCATGACCACGCTTTGCCTTGTCTATGCTCACCCGGCACGCTCGACTCCGTCTCCTGAAAAACACAATGAGGGCGTGAGCAAACCACTATACTCCGCAAAGACCAATACTGAATAAAACAGCATTTATACTATCGTATCATGAACATAAATATATAAGAGCTGAATCTGTAAACTTTCTTTTCTTGCTTTACTATGATCAAAAGACCCTCGGCCCTTGGCCGCTCGTGTGCACACCCCGATGGGATATTAAGGCCCTTGGCCTCCACCGGGTCTCCAGATGGGATATTAAGGCCCTCGGCCTCCACCTGGAGAAACTAACTGTCTCGAACATACCTCTGCCATGGTACCAATATTATATATGATGTGGAACCAGTACATGACCCCCACCTGGTATACTGAAAATATCTGTTGCAAGTGCTTGAAACAGAAGTAGCTGTCGGAGGCTCGACTCTTCTTAAGCTATATAAAAATATAAAAAACATTCACTTAATCTAACTCAGCTCATATAGGCTATAATAGTACACGTTTTAAAAAGTAACTCTATTTCCGAAAATAAAACAAGAGTTTTCAAAACCTAACCCTCGTAGCGATTTTAAAGTCAACATAACTTACAATACACTTGTCATATAATCATGATTTCAGTTTCATTTTAACCCTAAGACATGCATCTACAATTCTTATGAAGACATTGAAAACAAATAAGGTCATTTGGCAAGAGATAATTCAACAAACATTCATAACCGAGTTGCAGTCCATAATTGAAATCATACAGCTGACAAGACTTCAGTAATTGTAGGATAAATAAAGCTACAAACATGCTTTTAGTGAGATTCAAAAACCACATAGAAGCTAACTCAAATATCTACAACTTTTCTTCAGATCACATTGGCAAATAACAATGCTCTCAATGACTTTAAGCATGAAATATTTGATTCATGAAATCTGTCAGAAACAAATTTATGTTACAACAGCACCTCAGTATTTAGACTCTAATTCACACTACAGACCTCCTATAAGTATTAACCCTACCTTATTAGAAAGCTAAGGGATAGACCTATAACGTTTATAAAGATCATCTTTGCGTTTGAGCACATTAAGACATGATAAAAAGGTCATACATTTAATATAACATGCTGCCGGTTCACAGAAAAACTGCTTGCACCATCTATTTGTAAAATTCATAACTCACTCAATTCTTAAGATAAAATCATGAAAATTGGTATGCAGTCTCCTTACTCATATATAAACATTTCCATAAAATTTCATAATTTTATTCTAAGCAGAACTCGAGTTATTCGCGTTTGAAGTTGCAGCTGAATTCGTGCATGTAAAGTTCAACTTGCATGTCTAACTTTAAAAATCAGTAACCCGAGTTATACTAGGCTAATTGACTTGATTCCTGATCTTATGAACTCCTCTTTTACACAAGAAACAACCATATAAAGCATAGTTTCCCAAGTTTTTCATAGCATAGCCAAAAATGCAAGCAAACAACACATAAGAAGCACTCATGCGAGCTGGGACAACTTTAACTTCTTGCATGCTTATAACTACTTAGAAACTGAACATGTATGGCACACATATATATCATTCTACTCCTTATATCATCTATATTATGATTCTAAAAAGATTTGAGCACACCAACCTCTTAATGCCCAAGGGAACAATTCTCTTCTCTAGGTGCATGGGAGTTTGGGGAGGGTTTTTGGCACGACTTTGGCCTGGTTTTGGAGGGATTATTGGCTGCATTAGCAAGGAATATTTGTATGGTACATGGCTGGTGAAGTCCTAATGCTCTAGAGGACAAAAACCTTACATATGCTCATTAAAATAATGCACCTAACACATGACTCCTTAAGGCTAATGCTAAATAGAGTGCCTTAATCCTTCTTAAGGCTAACTTGACCTTAATTAATCCTTAATCCACCTGGTAATATGGTATGGTATGGGACTAAAACTAAAGAGGTAAGATGGCTAGGGTCTCAAGGAGTTCTGCTAAGACTCAGTGGAAGGCGTGCGCGACTAGGGATCTCGTGGGTCTAATGCTTGGCTTGGACTCGATCTTTATAACCGAAAATTGCATTAACATGGCTAAAATAATTGAACTCATATGCCCTAAGATTTCTAAGGTCCTCGAGGCTTGGTCGATTGGTGCGTCGGTACGGGCGAATGCGCGACTAGGGTTCGGCGTGAGAGAATTGACGATCCGGCATGAATCGAAAAATGTCGAACTTAGTAAATGAAATAGTCTAACATACATTAAACATTAAGGCAAATAAGCACATATAATCACATAAGTCGCATAAAAACACTTAGTCGAACACTCAAAAAAGTTTGAAAAATACCGATTTCACTTTATAGTCGAGCAAGTGAAATGGATTCGCTTTATTAACTAATGGGGCGTTACAACCTATCCTCCTTAAAATATTTCCGTCCTCGGAAATACAAAACTAGGGTACTAGGTCAGAACTCCTACTATGAACTTTATACAAGAGCATAAGATAAAAGTACACAAGGTACAACTGATACAACTCAAAACTCGAAATCTGGATATCGAGCTCTGATCTCGGCCTCTCTCTCCCAAGTGGCTTCCGACTCATCGTGGCGACTCCAGCAAACTTTGACAAGCTCTATATCTCTGTTTCTCAGCCGTCGAACCTTTCGGTCTAGAACTTCTACCGGCCTTTCATCATATGTCAGGTTCTGCCCGACCTCTAGCTCGTCAAAGTTCACTACATCGCTCGGGTCGTACACATACTTTCTCAACATCGACACATGGAAAACATTGTGTACACCCGAGAGTTTTGGGGGTAACGCCAGACGGAAGGCTGTTACGCCAACTCGCTTAAGAATATTTAATGGCCCTATGAATCGGGGTTGCAGCTTCCCCCTCTTCCCAAAGCGTACAACGCCTTTCATTGGCGTGACCTTCAGAAACGCTTTGTCTCCCTGCTCAAACTCAAGCTCCCTTCTACGCTTTTTAGCGTAGGCCTTCTGTCGGCTCTGTGCCTCTCTCAGCTTCGCACGGATCTCGGCTACCTTCTGCACCGTGTCCTTGATCAATTTGGGAACGAGAACCTGTTTCTCGCCAACTTCATCCCAGTAAAGGGGTGAGCGGCACTTACGACCGTACAAAGCTTCAAATGGTGCCATCTTGATCGACGAGTGATAGCTGTTATTGTAGGCAAACTCCACAGTGGGTAACAACTCCTCCCACGAACCACCCCGCTCTAGAACACAAGCTCGAAGCATGTCCTCAAGCGTCTGAATGGTTCGTTCCGACTGAACGTCAGTTTGCGGATGGTAAGCGAAGCTAAACTTCAACTTCGTCCCCATGGACTCGTTAAGACTCTTCCAAAAATGGCC